TCTCTGTGGGACTCTGACTGTTGCTTTCTTTTTGCACCGAACCTAAAAAGTTTATCCAACAAAGACGTTCACTCTTCCCATTCTCGTTCAACTTCGTCACTGATCAGATAATGAAGCAAATACTGGGAGCATTCAAAACATGTGTGTTCAGCTTGTTGCTGGTGAGAACCTTTTCGATACGGAGTACGCAAACGACACCGCCCTCATCTTTGAAAGCCAAGGTTGAATAGACCGATCACCATTATGTCCTCTATCGGCATGCGTCTTGCATCTTCAAAGTGGAAAGTTATGCTTCAGAACGTGCGGTCACCGAACATACCCCTTAAAATTCAAAGAGAATCACCATTGTTGTATTACTTGTATTAGCTCTGCTGAATTCACTGCACGAATCCCAAAACCCCGAATAACGTTTGCTAATTTGTGTCACTTGTGGCATCAAAAAAGCATACCACTGAGCCATAAGGTCGCGTGTACCAGAGTACAATAAGGGCTATATTTTTTGCGAGACATGGTCTCTGCTGACAGGTAGTGTGACGTGCCTTCGGGGTTTGCTTTCCAATGCTTCAGAGGCGTTGCTGGTATCGGATGGCGTCAACGAATTCATAAAGAGGTGCTTCAAAAAACGTGTTTGATTGTGCACCAGATAATTCAAGCGCGGATAACATCCAGCATCATCAACTGCGGCGACTCGGCCATGTGCTACGCCTGCCGAAACACCGTCAACTCAGATTGCAGTTCTCCCTACTTTCTTCAGAATGGCGCAAACTCTGAGGTGAACAACTTATGACTTGGCCGAACGGTGCGAAAGAGATTACGAAAAGATTCGTTGTTACTGGAGCGACATACTTTCCGGGATGGGTCCCCGTCACCCCTCCTGTGCTCGGCTGGCGACGTTACATGGTGTTAGTGGTGTTCATGCTGTCAGCCTCTTCGTATTGTCTTACTGAACTCTTGGAGATGTAGACACCTCAGAATGCTTGTGATAGACCCTCACTCACTCTTTTCTCCCTATTATAAGGCTCGAGATATAACTAAACAAACTTCACATCACACAGCTGCAGCTTCTGCATGTCCGAGTTCGTTCACAACCCCAAACTTCGAAGTCTGTTTTCAAACCCCGAAAGCCTGTCTACTTAGCCATCGCACCTTTTTATTGTTTCTGCTTACGCCCCAACTGACTGTAGCTCTGAATCTGCCAAGGACAGTTTCTATGACTCTCTAGGTGCCCTTCTTCAACAGGCTAAAAGCTCAGATATCGTTGTGGTTGCTGGTGATATGAACGCCCAGGTAGGTAGACTAAGGGCTGCTGAGGCCCGATTGGGTGGTCGTCTTGGTTTGGACACTAGACACACGGACAACGGGGACCGCTTACTTCAGATGTGTGCCGATCACAGGCTGTTCCTTTGCAGTACGAATTTCCGGAACAGCGGACATCGCTTGACAACGTGGTGCCCACCATCAAACCAGCGCCGAATCCAAATAGTCCACATCGCCGTCAGTTATCGGTGGCGAGGGTCGATCACCGCCTGCCGCTCCTTCTGGGACACCAGCTTGGACTCCGACCATGCACTTGTACGCTGCTGCTTTTCATTGCGC